ATTTTTTAGCGTCAAGCAGCATACTTATTTTTTGAAAACAATTGCTGGAAGTATACCGTAATTACGTTGATCATAAAATCAATTAATGAAAGTATGATTGTTTTTAATATTTTATTGTATCGAATAGTCGAAATATTTTATTTTTGATTAAAGCAAGTACCCAATTAGAAAAAGTTCTATTTAGACTAAATTAACCTCATTCAAGTTTCTCCAGACTTAATGTACTTAAGTACAATTGGAAATATTCCCAAAGCACTACATGTTCTACGAATTCGTGTTCTACAAAACGGATAGGCTACAGGGAATACCTCAGAAGGAAAGGATATAAATCTAAAAAGGGTTTAGCCTTCTAAATGATTCTCTCACAAGTTTTATGGTGAACAAATAGTATAAGTTTGTGACTGAAGGCGTTTTCCCTAGGTGTTACCATACGACCTACAATAGCTTGTATTACATCAATTTCAATGTCCTAGAAAATTACTCAATGGATATTTTTTTTTATATAATGATGCCACATTGATGGTTGGGACTTGGTATTGTTCGTTCGTAATTTTTGGAATGGATGTTCGTAATGGAGTCTGGAGTCATTTGTGTACAGAATAATAAGAGAAATAATGCAATGTACCTTTATTAAAACTTGTTTAATTATTATTTTTTAGTTAATCTGCTTCGTTGGCCGAGTGGTCGCAAGTGCGACTGCCGGGTATTACTGGGAAAGTATTACTGGGTTTTTAAAAAATTCTCAGTAGTAGTAGCACGGAGTCTGGAATTGTGCCCGGGATATGGCAATAGATTCAACCCCTATTACATGGGACTCATACCATACATAGTGAAAAGTGGGTGTTACATTGTATAGCGGCATAATGTGCACCTCTGCCTACCCCTTCGAGGATAAAAGGCGTGATGTTATGTTATGTGTTTTTATTGTAAAGATCTGTCTGGTTTGTAGGTAAGAAAATATAAGAATGATTCGGTGCATAAACAGTTGCTTTTATTCAAGTGATACAAGTGAAACAAGTGATACTATTTGCAGAAATTAATTCACTTGTAGCCACAAGGCAGCACTTTTACACGTCAATTTCATCAAGCGGACGATGAGGTCGATTCTAGTAACATGCTATTTATCGGAATAGCCACGGGTGCCTGTGATCGCTTACTATCAGGTGATCCGTTTTCTCGTTTGCCTCCTATTCGATAAAAAGAAGCCAAATCTCTCTCTTGGGTAGCTCTATAGTCACTTAGTGTTGACTGTCTCTGAACTAAATCAATCTTCATTTTCTAAACTGCATACCAAATACTACTGATGGCACACTATACTCACACCCGAAGGGGTAGGCAGAGGTGCACGCTACGGCATTTAATGCCAGTGTACAATGTAACACCTACTCTTTACTATTTATGTTATACCGGGCACAATTCAAGACTCCGTGCTACTACTGAGAATTTTTATAAACCCAGTAATACTTTGCGCGACTTGGGAATCGCCCCCGAGATGCGGTGACTGGGCTACCGGCTGCCGAGCAACGTATCGCGGGCTCAATTCCCGCACGGAACAACTCTTTGTGCGATCCACATATTGTTGTTTCGGGTCTGGGTCTCATGTGTATGTGAACTTGTATGTTTGAAATCGCACCCACCACACAGGAGAAAATCCTAGTGTCCCCACACAATGATGTTCTCCGTTTATTAAAAACTTGTGATAGGAATTGATTATTATATTTTCGGCTTACTCACTTAATTATTTGACGAGGAACTCGACTACTTTCATGCTATATAGGCTAGTATTTATGAGCAGCATTCCTCGATAAACGACGCGACGACTGTTGCGCTGCTACTATATAACTAGTATAGCTTGAAATTAGTCGAGTTTCTCGTTAAATAATGAGGTCAGTAAGCCGAATAACATAATAATTAATTTAGTATGTCTCACAACAGTAATATAATTAGGGATTTTTTTAAGGGGGGAAAATTATTATTATTTTTTTTTTCTTCTTCACAAAATACAGTGAATGGCGGACTTAATGCCTTAAGGCATTCTCTTACAGTCAACCATAGGGAAGTGCAGAAAAATGAAGTGGTTGATGCGAATTATCGAGTGACTGGTCCCGTCTGATATAAGATACGAGAAACTATGTAGAACCATTTTCACAAAACTGTAAGATGCCTGCCTGGTAATAAATGATTAATGTACAAGAACTACCGCTAAGCAAACATGTATTGTTGTGAACAGCCGCTGTCTTTTGCACTTTGTTGTTTCCTACGTGTAGCAATCCCTGCGGTACATAGAACACGAAATGTATGCGGGTATTACAAATAAGACATTTTCAACTTTATTGTTATATTATACAGTTTAAATTCTATTTCTTAAAGGGTAGATTGGTATGTCGGTGCAAAGCTGAAAATATAGGAAGATGTTTGGTAAGCAATAAACTTAATGAAATATATGGACTATAGTCTTTTACTGATTGATAACATCTCCCTAGAAAACTAGCTTATAGTTATAAATAATTTATAGTAGTATTTAGGCAAACGTATGCCTTGTCAAAGGTGTAACCTTCGAGTCTAGATATTATGGTATACCGAAGATTTATTATAACTTACAAGAAGCCCATAAATCTTGGATTTACCATATATGAACTGTCATTCGTATGATAACTCATATCAATTCTTGGTTTAGTACTCGTTTCTTGCTTTCGTATTCATTTTTAGTGCTACGGTAAAATCTGATGGGTTTACGTGTTTTAGGCATGGAAGAGTCTTGAAAGAATTACCATGTATAAACTGGTATCAGCACTTTATCTATACTTATTTTTGTGCCGTTTGGTAACTGCAAAGTAGAATATATATATTTATCTCTTTCTTTTATCTTTGAATGCTATTCATAAGCGTTAACTAAAGGATTATAAATTTGAAAGAGATCAGCAGCGATTTCTCATCGTCATCATCAACAGCTGGAAGACGTCTACTGCTAGACATAGGCTTCCCCCCTAGTCCTCCTGCCGCGTGGCCTGCCTATTGCCTCTTCAGTCTGCAGATTTTGCGAGCAACGTCGGTAACTCTAGTTCTTTGGCAGCGATCTCTGATAAAATTTACCTTTTTAAATTGTTACTGAAACGTTACTCAATTTTTAAATCACGCTTAAGTATAGTTCTGTCACCACTAATTCTTTGTGAAATGACAGAGATGGCACGATATTTAAGCATGACTTAAAATTTAGTAACGTTTCAGTATTCCGGCACTAGCCTGTCCACTAAACGTGGAGATAATAGTAGGGGAGCCCACGATGCTAAATTTGGATTTACTTGAGCGTCGTTGGAACCTACTGGATTTTGAAGATATGCTGATAGAAAGAAGAAATGGTTTAGTGACAATTTCTTCCACCGGTGGGGGAAGGGGGAATCCACAGATCTTTGAAATTGTTAAGCGTAACTTTTGTTCTAGTGGTCGAGCGTGTCAGATATTGATAGTGTACATGCTCCATGTGTATTTAATAATAAAAAACTCTTAATCTGCCAGTTTGCATGGTGGGGTTGAATGTTCTGGAGAGTACAAACGAGAACCCTTCAAAATCCCGCCACTCTTGCAAATCAAGTTGGAATGGGCAGATTTTTCAAACGCACTTCCTTTAGCATGGTATTGACCTATCTTCCCTTAATCTGACGAAACTGACTTTATTTAGTCAAACTTTTTTTTAATTTTTCGTCCCCGCCTTCTAATCAGATCGGATATATGGTGGGTATATTCAACATGACACTAGGTTTTCCCCGTATGTTAATCTGACGCGCTCGAGTAACTACCGAAATCCCTTCATGGGCTCCCCTACTACCTCTATAATGACAAACTCTGTTATATAGAAGAAACTCATAGTTCAGCAGTAAGCCAACATGAACTGTTGTTGTAATAATAATTTAGCCATCCCGGTAATTTGACCCACGACTTGCAGTAGCGCGTATGATCAACTCAATGAGGCAGAAAATGAGTGTAATCACAAGTAAATTGGCACATCGAATGAACTTACATAACCTTTGCTAACACGCGTATATCAGCTGCCAATTCATATCGACAGCCAATTAAATTATCTTGAGGCTGATTGGATTACAATCAATAAATTAATTGATCGAATAAAAAAAATCCGTTTGATGTCATGTTAGGAATCACCCTTATCATCGAAGGGAAAAACGTCAAATTTATTTATAAATCTCTAAGCGCAATCGAGGTGCCCAATAATGTGAATAAAAGGTACAGAGATTTGATGGATTTTTATTTTGTCATGTATTTTAATCCAGTCTCTAACTGAAGATACAACTCACCTTATGTTATTTAATATATTTTTTTATGGGATTACCTGATGGTAAGTAATCGGCGTCGTCCATGAACACCTGGATCGCTAGAGGCATTGCAAGTGCGTTACCGGCCTTTTGAGGATAAGGAGTTTGAGTATTGTTGGAAATTCAGAGACATTGGGAGGGGAGGGGAGAATTGAGCCTCCGTTAACGTCACTGACACGATGGAACACAACGCAAGTGTTGATTCACGTCGGTTTTCTGTGAGGCCGTGGTATCACTCTCGTCGAGTCGGTCCATCCATTCCAAAGCATGGCTCTCCTACACTTAAAATAGTGTAGAACATTAAGCAGAAATCACTTGCTATGCATTATTAAGATAATACCATTTTCATGTCTATTTATTTACGCTTTCTGCTTTAGGTTTTTAATATAATGTAAGCTAGATTCATTTCAGAAAGCAAAACATAATATTATAACGGATGGAGACACAATAAAAAAGGTTTAATGTCTTTTTCTAAACATTAAAAAATATACAATGACCAACGATACATTCTGTTTTGACAGTTAATGGCCGCTTCTTTTTGGCTTCTATAATTTCTACTACGTTTCTATGACAGATGAGACATTAAATTGAAAAAGTATACATGGTTTATAAAAATTCGTATTTTTCAATAAATTAAACAGAATGGCGTGTGCTACTCCGTGTTCATTCTTAATGCAGAGTTACTTTCTGTACTCAGCATTACTGGCGTTACAATTATTAGCATTGGCGCCTTTAGCAGGGATGGTGTGCAATCCAGAAAAAATTCAGCGTGCAAATATAAGTGACTTGAAGAACCTAACACCGTTCTGGTTGGTGGCAGCCCTGTACATGACGACTTCTCCAGAACCGATAACTGCTAGATCACTTCTTCGTGTTTATGTCATAGCTCGAATAGTGGCCGCCTTGGGTTACATTTACAAGCTACCCAGAATTCTCACGGACTCGGCGTTCTTCGTGTCATTTCTTATAACAGGTTATATGGGAGCAAGTGTAGTATATGCGTATAGGGAAGCGCTGTAGAGACCGCTATCGTTTCACAAAAATGTTTGTGCATTTGAAATTCATATGAACAATGTGTCGTAAGATTTATGTCGCTATAAAGGAAAAAGATTATGTATACTTTTGTCAATATAATGTTAAACTTTATCATACGACTGTTGTTTCTTTTTGTTCCTGAGCGATATTTCGCATGAAATATGACTGGAGTTACTCCTTTTACCATTTGGTACTTTCAAGTTAATATTTCTTTCTTTCAAGGGTACTACTGAATGTTATTTCGTGGAATTGTTGTTGTAAAATAAAAACCAAACATATTTGTTTGTTTTGAGCCACCTCTTTGCTTGCACTTTATGAGGATAGTATCGAGATCTTTAGATTAGACCTGTAAATTTTTTATGTTATAAATAAATATTCTTGTTGCACCTCTGTAGTAGATAATGTAGTTGTAGCTCAAAAATTCAAGTCTAATGGTCAAGTAGTCAAACGCCAGTAAATTTTTAAAAGTGCTCTCAAGTTGTTTTGTACACGACTTCTCACAATACAAATACTTTACAAAATACAGAAATAGAACAATATTTAAGTACAACTTAAAAATTCAGTAGCATTTGCGTATTTCACAGTCGTATAGCGAATATTTATTACAGCCTACATAACATAACATCACGCCTTTTGTCCCCGAAGGGGTAGGCAGAGGTGCACATTATGCCACTGTACAATGTAACACCCACTTTTCACTATTTATGTTATGAGTCCCATGTAATAGGGGGTGAGCCTATTGCCATATACCGGGCACAATTCCAGACTCCGTGCTACTACTGAGAATTTTTAAAAACCCAGTAATACTTTGCCCGACCCGGGAATCGAACCCGAGACCCCTTGCCCGGCAGTCGCACTTGCGACCACTTGGCCAACGAGGCAGTCTATATATTACAGCCTCTTAATAGAAAAGGCTTGACATATACCTAGTACCGTATTTATTCGGAGTTTGCAAATCAATAGTCTAGTCCGAAACTTTGGAGATTTCCCAGTGGGTGCGTCCTCACTCCTCAGGTTCACAATCTTTATAAGTTGACTTGTTGACTTTCCTTTCACAAACTTGTTGGAACGACCTCCTATGAACGACGAACCTTTTTAAAGCTAACGTGCGACGCTTTGTGAATAATTCATGAATAAAGTAAGTACTTATTGTGTGTCGAATATTTTAGATGAATTATTGAGATTGTAAGGACTTATTAGAATGATAAAAGTAGATATTCTTTTATTACTGATTGCCCTTGTGTTTTTTTTTAATGTCTGGCTTCCATCTTTTGTAACATGAGTCTTCATTATTTGGATTACAGATGATATAAAACGAGAATCATATTATTTAAATTTAAGTTTTGTGCAACTTGGTCGTAACGCAATAAATAAAATTGAATTTTCGTGATGGATTTTTGTTTATCTGGGTTTTTGATGTAGTTCATATCAAATGAGTGACTATTTAATACAAATTTAACCGAAAAATAATTTAACATAAGTCGAAAGACACAAAGAAAAAGAAAACTAAACGTTGCGTTACAAGTTGTTTGCTTACAAACTAAACATCAAAGATGCAACATAGTGCAAGCTTGTGCGCAGTTCACCGACACTTATGTTCAAAGAAAACTGCAAATTGTGGTGGCTTTTGGCACAAATATGACTTGCATCATCAACTTTGTTTAAAATTTCGTTGGGGTTTTGCCAGATTTTATCAGTTTGCGTGTGAAAAATATTACTTTGGATTGCAGTATGGTTACTATTCATTCGCATATTAATGGGTATTTTTCAAGGCTTTTTAGAATCATTAATTTACCTGTGTAATACCACGCAGCAACGTATACCTGTATAATACATAATGTCGTGGTGGCCAGGAGGTTAAGACGCCTTAAACGAGGCCTTAAGACGTTTGGAAGAGTTAAACTTGAACTGTATTAGACGCATATGAATATGAAAAATGTGTTTATTTCTAAACCCTTAAATATTTAATAGATATATAACATAACAAAACATTACACCTTTTATACCGGGCACAATTCTAGACTCCGTGCTACTACTGTTTTTTTTTAAATCCCAGTTATACTTTGCCCGACTCGGCGATCGAACCCTCTTGCCCGGCAGTCACATGTACATAATAAAACGGTCTCAACGTTCATAAACTGAATTTATTTGTAGTTCATTAGTCATTTCATTTACCCTTTTTGTCATAATAAACTTGATGTTATATTACTACAGACATAGATTGAAGGAGAATTCTTAACACTATCTTGAAAATAAAGAAAAATGTTCAGCTTTTTCCTTTATCTTTTGGCGGTGATCACATTTTTGTTTTTTATATACTGCTAAGCCTCTGTATAGCAAAGCTAATGAAATTCTCTCAAGTTTATGACCCCACACATTGAGAAAATACCCTTATTATTCTGGCTCATAGTCTCTCATCTTTGCCAAAAATATTTTATTTATAAGTTTTTCCGAGCCAAATGAATTCTTGCTTATCATACTTATTTAAAAAAAAGTTATACCTGTCACTGTCAGTATCATTTAATTGTCAAAATTTTAGTAAATAAATACTTAATTAAAATATTAAATAAACATGACTATAGTAATAACGTTAGATTATCCTTTAATACAAACGTACATGGTGCATTCAGCGTTATTAGTGGTGAAGTTATTAGCTTTGAGTCCTATGGCAGCCATGACTTGGGTGAGGAAAGGTGTGTTCTCAAACCCAGATATCGTGAGAAGGGCGTATTTATCGGAGTTGAAGAATTTAGCGCCGTTTTGGTTGGTTGGAGCTCTTTACGTTACAACGACTCCCCCTTCGGACATTGGGATAAGTCTATTCAGAATGTTCACAGCAGCAAGAATGATTGTAATCCTCGGTTATGCATCGAAGCCAGTTCCAGAAGTATTTACGGACTTTGGCCTCATCCTCTCGTATCTGATTACTTGTTATATGTCAATGTACGTAATTTATTACTACAGAAACGCTATTTAGATTAAATATAAATGAAACATCGACTTGTTTGAGCCAGCAGTACAAAGTCTTTGTGACTCGTTTTAAGGAGCCAAATCGGAAAGGAAATTGCTTTTTAGATTGTGTTCTGTTCAATCTAGAGTGTAGGGAAACGACTCTCTATTATTGTTATAACCGTATTATTATTACTAGAGAGAAGAAATATAAAATTGTAATGTTTTAGAGATTTTTATAACATTTTATAATCTTTACTACAATTACGTTGTGACTGTTAAGTGGAATTGACTATTCAAAATAACTTGTATTTTAATTTTTGATTCAATAAACGTAAAATTATTTTTTTACATTTTTGACTTTTTATAGACTGCCTCGTTGGGCGAGTGGTCGCAAGTGCTACTTGGACAAGGGGGTTCGATTCCCAGGTCAGGCAAAATATTACTGGGTTTTTAAAAATCTCAGTAGTAGCACGGAGTCTGGAAATGTGCCCGATATATGGCAATAGGTTTACTCCCTATTACATGGGACACATAACAAAAATAGTGAAAAGTGGATGTTACATTGTACAGTGGCATTAATTGCCATAATGTGCACCTCCGCCCATCAGTTTATTGTCATTACTATAACATATATTAGCTTGTACACATACGTATTAAGAGTCTAATTAGTACATAGCTGTGTAAAATGAATAAGTCCGCACAAGACTAACACAAGCAACGTTTTAAGAGCAACATTTATAACATTCTTTTAATATTCTTCTTTTAACATTTGTTACAAGTATCAGTAGTCCACAGAAACTTATTTCATTTTTTATCTGAGATCCAAACAAACAAATTGAGAAATATTTTCGAACATTTGAACGGCAAACAGAATGCCAACGAGGATACCGAAACAATTGTCCCCGTTCACTTCAGTGGAAGATCTGATACGTCAAAGAAAGAACTACTCCACGTTGTGTAGCTCCATAACATTGGGATTCACTTTGTTTTAGGCGTGAGGCGTATTCCGCGTATTTATTACAACAGATATAAGTAACATGTATTGTGTTACTCAGATAAAAAACAACAGTTGTTTCCGCAGGTATAAGTATCAAGTGTTACACAGATAATAGGTAACAGCTGTTCTTGTGAGTAAATTATGATTTACCTAGATCAAATTAAGGTATAATCACAGTTTACATTATAGTATACAGTTCAAATATAACACACTGTTATGTCGTTATTCTCTATCAGAATCAACAGATATACCAAAGGGTAGAATGTTATCATTCTTGTCTTAATATCTGTTATTTAGTAACTGTTATTTAAAAAAAACAGTAACAGAAAGAACAGGTGTAATATTTAAGTTGTTACAACGTAACTCTACTTTGTATACGATGCTCATATTCTTTCGTATGCTCTGCCTTACTTCAGGAAGTAATCGACCGAATCCGTCATACACATTCAACTGACGATTCAGAAAAGTACCTTTATTTTCCTGTTTTTCTTAAAAGGAAGCAAATAGACGGAAAAGTATCTACTTACTCGAGTTATTTCAGGCTTTTAAGCCGTTTTAAGCGTAAAATGGCTGACAATTACTGCTTTGATGTTGATATAAATAACCATTAAATGGCTATTTAAATCATCTGTTTTATCGGTAGCTTTGACTTTAACGAAGCCCGTCAAAGGTTAATTTCTGAAATGTCTTTAGATGTTTCGTAAAATATTGGAGTTTATTAATTTTGAGGAATGCTTGTTTGCTTTCGCGTTGTTTCATTCGATAATATTAGGACTTAAATATCACAGAGTAGTCTCCTATTGTTTTACATTTAGATAGATTATTTTCAATAGCCAATTTATCGAGCCTTCATAAAACATAACAAACAGTTTTACGACCAATATATCCACACAAAAACAAAATTAATTATCCTAACCCAAAAATATTTATGTAGTTTAACCACGTGGAGTCAAAGTCCTATCGAGTGGGTGTGATGATATAGACATAAATTATGCCTAGAACGCTAACTTAGGAGATTTATTGCGCATAAATTATC